CATGATGTCAAGCAAAGAGGCACTGAGTTTGAAGGTAGGCCTTGAAATACATCCACAGGTACACCTCCAATTGACTCAAATGATGTAAATTAGCCTATAAGAACCTTCGAAAGCCATGACATCATTTTTTTGAATTTTCCAAGCTGTTTAAAGGCACAGTCAACTTAGTGTATGTAAACTTCTGACCCACTGGAATTGTGATACAGTGAATTATAAGTGAAATTATCTGTCTCTAAACAATTGTTGGAAAAATTACTTGTGTCATGCAAAAAGTAGATGTCCTAACCGACTTGCCAAAACTATAGTTTGTTAACAAGAAATGTGTGGCGTGGTTGAAAAATGAGTTTTAATGACTCCAACCTAAGTGTATGTAAACTTCCGACTTCAACTGTATAAAAAAATATCCATTCCCAGTCAAAAGTTTGGACACACCTACTCATTCAAGGGTTTTCTTTATTTTTACTGTTTTTCTATATTGTAGAATAATGGTGAAGACATCAAAACTATAACACATATGGAATCATGTAGTAACCAAAAAAGTGTTAAACAAATCAAAATATATTTTGAGATTCTTCAAATAGCCACCGTTTGCCTTGATAACAGCTTTGCACACTCTTGGCATTCTCTCAACCAGCTTCATGAGGTAGTCACCTGGAATGCATTTCAATTAACAGGTGTGCCTTGTTAAAAGTTAATTTGTGGAATTTCTTTCCTTCTTAATGCGTTTGAGCCAATCAGTTGTGTTGTGACAAGGTAGGGGTGGTATACAGAAGATAGCCCTATTTGGTAAAAGACCAAGTCCATATTATGGCAAGAACAGCTCAAATAAGCAAAGAGAAACGACAGTCCATCATTACTTTAGGACATGAAGGTCAATCAATACGGAACATTTCAAGAACTTTGAACATTTCTTCAAGTGCAGTCGCAAAAACCATCAAGCGCTATGATGAAACTGGCTCTCATGAGGACCGCCACAGGAATGGAAGACCCAGAGTTACCTCTGATGCAGAGGATAAGTTCATTAGAGTTACCAGCCTCAGAAATTGCAGCCCAAATAAATGCTTCACAGAGTTCAAGTAACAGACACATCTCAACATCAACTCTTCAGAGGAGACAGTGTGAATCATGCCTTCATGGTCGAATTGCTGCAAAGAAACCATTACAAAAGGACACCAATAAGAAGAAGAGACTTGCTTGGGCCAAGAAACACGTGCAATGGACATTAGACCGGTGGAAATGTGTGCTTTTGTCTGGAGTCCAAATTTGAGATTTTTGGTTCCAACCGCTGTGTCTTTGTGAGACGCGATGTGGGTGAATGGATGATCTCTGCATGTGTAGTTCCCACCGTAAAGCATGGAGGAGGAGGTGTTATGGTTGGGGGGTGCTTTGCTGGCCTGTGATTTATTTAGAATTCAAGGCACACTTAACCAGCATGGCTACCACAGCATTCTGCAGCGATATGCCATCCCATCTGGTTTGGGCTTAGTGGGACTATCATTTGTTTTTCAACAGGACAATGACCCAACACATCTCCAGGCTGTGTAAGGGCTATTTTACCAAGAAGAAGAGGGATGGAGTGCTGCATCAGATGACCTGGTCTCCACAATCCCCCGACCTCAACCCAACTGACATGGTTTGGGATGAGTCGGACCGCAGAGTGAAGGAAAAGCAGCCAACAAGTGCTCAGAATATGTGGGAACTCCTTCAAGACTGTTGGAAAAAGCATTCCAGGTGAAGCTGGTTGAGAGAATGCCAGGAGTGTGCAAAGCTGTCATCAAGGCAAAGGGTGGCTATTTGAAGAATCTCAAATCTCAAATAAATTTTGATTTGTTGAACACTTTTTTGGTTACTACACGATTCAATATATGTTATTTCATAATTCTGATGTCTTCGCTATGATTCTACAATGTAGAAAATAGTTTAAAAAAGAAAGAAAAACCCTGGAATGAGTAGGTGTGTCCAAACTTTTGACTGGTACTGTATATAATTTATATAAATTATTTGGTGAAACATTGATGAAGCCAATGCTCTACAATGCACACAAGGACCAGAGGAGTCATCTGAAGGTAACCCAATACCAGCTGGATGAATTGCAATAAGTGCATAGGGGATAAAATGTGCCAAAAATAACGTGACCAAACATGGGTCAAAAAAAATCTATATGTTTTCCCTAAGTGTTCTTCTATCTCTTAGATATAAGGACAGATATTTCAAAACCTTCTTCCTTATTATTGTTTTTCTAATTTCTGTTTTGCCATTTATTAATGTGTTATTCAATGCGTTTTTATGAGATATAGCAGTAAAGGCTAAATAAAAAATTTAATCAAATAATTTTTGTATATATATATTTTTATACCTACAGGGATCCTAAAATTCAAAATCAAATGGATAAATTATGCATTTTATGACCATCTTAAAACAATTCCATATGCTAGCTTAGTAGATATTGCAATCTAAGGGCTTAGACCTACAGGGGTTTTAAACCATGGTAGATAAACAAGAACATATCACAGTCATAGCAAGTAAAAATATTGTGTTACCTTTACCGAGAATGTTCTTGTAGTTAAGCGGGCTACTTGCAAATTCATCTGAACTCATCTGAACCTTCTGTCTCGGACATCCTCACTTAGAAGAGGTCTTCTTACAAAACCGACTGTCCAGACAAACCTGTTCGAAATGAGGACGTCCGAGACAGAGAGTTCAGATGACTGCTGTAAAGCTAGTGGATGTCATAGAGCCAAACAACCAGTCTCCCCTTTCGATATTGGTGACTTATTGGTTTGTAGCTCACATGGTTCGGGTTCTATAGACGATTTCGTGATGATGTTGTCCGGATCCTCTCGTGTAGAAAAAGGCCCGCTTTCACCCGCCCAATGTTATGGAGTAGGCATAAAGGAAAGAAGGGATTGAGCTACAGCCACCACAAGAAACGCTAAGTCTCTAGCAAAAACACACAGGGAGCAATTCAATATTCAAAATGATGTCACCGTGTGATCCATGGGTGCGTCAATCGACTCTAGGGGTTTTTAATGCACTGACTAAATTGCTCTGGATAAGTGTCTACTAAATTACCTAAATGTAAATGTCAAATTAACACTTGCAAAGCACATTGCTGTCTATTATTCTAATGAGCTCCGCCCCCAAACAAGGCCCATTCTTTTTTTACCTGATGGCCTTTCAGTTCACTGCTATGTTGCCTAACGGTTTGTACATGTTAATGAGCCAGAAACCACAATGCCATGCACCCACTAGTGTTCAAAACGTTTTTGGCGCTCCAAAAATACAGCATGGTACTGTATTCTGTGGGGTTGTACTGAATGACAGGAAAATACTGGCAGCACAGTATCCGGTAAATAACTGTAGATTTACATTACAAGGTTTTTAGATTCCAAAATACGGTATGGTACTGTATTCTGTGCAGTACATCATTCTCACTGACAGGTGCAACAAATATAGCCTCTTACAAGGCACGCCTCCAAATATGTTAATGAGCCAGAGATTCTTTCCTGACCACAACACTTTCAGAAAAAAATGCACCATAATTCACAGTATGCTGCTGGTAATAGACAGCATTGTAGCGGAATGCCATTCAGCCTCCCATAATGTATTGCTCTTTACAGTGCTGTATTGTAATATAGAATTACAGTAGCTAACTGTAAAGTTGTTGCTCTAAATGTACAGCAATTTCTTACAGTGTAGGCTATTTATGTTATTGGTGTACATTGAGTGGGCGGGCAGCCCTATTGGTCTGCTGGCCTACGTACGCAGAAACACGTGGAACAAACTCATTCTTTTATTAATGTCCTCTTGTAAATGTAATCTAGGCTACTGTCATGACCTGATCACATCTTTAGAACCTGTACCCTTAGCACCAACGTGTTCGTTCACCTGCTGTGAGGCGTGCATAACTTCAAAACGCCTGTTTTATGAGTTTATTGACACCGTTTTGCAATTGGGTAAAAATACAACACTTGAAGTATGCAGACAAAAAATATAGCCCATAATGACTATCAATTTCAGACCCACCTGCGCACATACGGACTCACATGGTCAAATACATGATAAAGAAATTAAATAGAGTAGAATAGAAATAAACATAAAAATCAACATTAGTACAATTTCAAGTTCATGTTCAGAGAGAAAGGATACTGCACTTATCAATATTTTCTCCCACCTGCTCCACCCGCCCCTCACTCCCTTCTGCAGGACATTTTTTACGACAGAGCAATAGGCCTAATTAATTGCATCATATTTACTTACATTATCAAGCCTATCTGACCAGATAGAGATTGATTAAAGAGTGGTAACTAACTGGGGTAAAGTTAATAGTTTGCTGTACTTTGATCTGGTCACTTCAATGTGAAGGGTCGCGCTGACTAATCCCTGGGCGTCATGCCATCATTCAAATAAAAGATGTGTCAAAGTTGGCAACAGCTACAGGTCTACGTGGCATGACATGCCACAGGTGTTTGGCTATTATAATTTATTATTCGGTAATATAGTGGTGTGATAGCTGGAATCGATAATATAGCCTATGTCTTATTTTAACCTTAAAAGCACTGTGCGTAATGTGGCCTCTTTGATCACTGTGCGCTATAGCGCATGTGTCATGGTTCTCGCTCATTCTTGCACGTATTTCTCTGCTTACGTGGTGTGTGTGTTTGTGTGTGTGTGTGTGTGTGTGTGTGTTTGTGCCTAAGAAAAATAAACAGAGCGAGACAGTGCAGTGCCTGTAATTTCCTTGATGTGCCTCCCTCTAACGTGTCACAACTTCTGGTAGATTAACCCAGATATGGGGAGCATCATCAGGTGTTGAAGTACCACTCATGCTCTCTTAACCGTTGTATTCGAGGCATCCACCTGCGGGAACAAGCACCTGCTGACTGGAAGAGTTCAGGAACTTGTTAAATACAAGAGCAACCAACTCAGGGACCACACATATTTCAACATGTTTTCTTCCATTTGATCGATTATTTTTACCAACGCCTGCTGTCTTTAAAATGCATAGTATTCGAGACTCCACCAACATTCCATTCTCTTCATTTTCAACATTGCCAATGTATTTATTGATGACTACTCTGCTGGTGATGGGCCTGGAGGCTGCGGCCACGGCAGGGACCACGCCGGGCTGCGCGTCTTGCGGCATGCCGCTAATGGAGAAGGATTCGGAGCAGAGGCTCCTGGTTGAAATCGCCAAGCAGCAGATCTTGAACAAGCTGCACCTGAAAGAGAGACCAAACATCACATCGACGGTGCCCCGCGCGGCACTTCTCACCGCGCTCCGCAAACTGCACAAGGGACGTGTCAGACCGGACGGCACCATTGAACTTGAAAACAAGATCAAGGAAACCAAAGATCCGGGATATGAAATAGTGAGCTTCGCAGAAATGGGTAAGTGTACTTAAAAAATATATATTATATCGTAGTGTATACTAGTGGAACCGTATGTGCACTTTATTATCCTTTGTTGGTTATGAACTCCAATGTACTGGTATCGAATGCGCTTTTGGAACAATGTAAATAAACCATGTACATTGAAATACAGAGCTCACACATTTATTTACATTGAAACCCTGACTTAAGATACCTCTTTAACCTAAAGGTACCTCAAGCTTCCGTGCGCTATGTGACCTCAAACCTTGATTTACGCAGAAGTTGGTAACGCTCGAGACTAAAATCAGGTGCTTATCACACCTCTTTTCTCTTGCGTATTTCAATATAAAATATTAATGAATCCATTTTGATGGTTTGAAATAACTTTGAAATAACTCATACAACTAAACATAATAAACATCAGTTTATACGTTTTAGTTAAATATATCTAATGTAGTTCTTGACTTGCATAATTGTCGAATGTAGTGCTTGAGATGTATTGGCATCACTTATAGAATGGACCTGAAAGGCTGTTTACACTTTGAAAGATGACAAATCGGTCTTGGGTGGCAGGTAGCTTAGTGGTTAAGAGCGTTGGTCGCTGGTTCTAATCCCCGAGCCGACTAGGTGAAAAATCTGTCGATGTGCCCTTGAGCAAGGCACTTAACCCTAATTGCTCCTGTAAGTCGCTCTGGATAAGAGCGTCTGCTAAATGACAAACATTTTTTTAAAATATATTTTTAAAAATATTACCTCTCTCTGCTCTGTCTTTTCTCTCTGTGATCTAGATGAGATGAACACCACTACTGGCACCCCGTCAGGCCTCACCTTCCAGTTCCTGCAGGAGAGAGACCACAGCATCCAGGTGCTTCAGTCTGCCCTGTGGCTGTATGTCCACTCCTCCGACACCCCTAACCGGGGCCCCCGCCCCACTGCCACAGCCCACATCTACCTGTCTGGCTCTGGGGAGGGCAGCTCCAACCGCACCCTCCTCTTGGAGAAGATCTTGGATGCGCAGCAGAGCAACTGGCATACCTTCCCCATCACCCACACCCTGCAGGCCTTCATGGACGGGGGCAAGCGGCGGCTACAGCTTGAGGTCACCTGCAAGGAGGCCGGGTCTGAGCCGGGCCAGGGCCAGAACCTGTGTGAGCTGGGTAAGTCCATGGACATGGCCCATCAGCCATTCGTGGTGGCCCAGGTGCGGCTTCGTGACGACTCCAAGCACATCCTCCAGAGGAGATCCCTGCGCTGCGGGGACAACGTCAGCGTCTGCTGCAAGAAGGACTTCTATGTCAAGTTCAAGGATATCCAGTGGCAGGACTGGATCATAGCGCCTGAAGGGTACCATATGAACTACTGTATGGGCCAGTGTCCCCAGGCCCTGGCCGGGTCTCCGGGCATCGCGTCTTCTTTCCACGCCACAGTGTTCAGCCAGCTCAAAGCCAACGGCATCAATTCAGCGGTGTCTTCTTGCTGTGTGCCCATCCAGCGCAGGCCTCTGTCTATGGTCTACTTCAACTCACAGCACAGCATCGTCAAGACCGACGTCCCTGATATGATCGTAGAGTCCTGCGGCTGCACGTAAACACATAGAAGAGAAAGACCAGACATTCAGTTTATGATGCTTTTAGTCTGAGAAGACTAGATTTAATTTGTTACACCGGCGCACACACACACACACACACACACACACACACACACACACACACACACACACACACACACACACACACACACACACACACACACAGAGAATAATTTTAGATATTCTCTCTCTATCAATTCGATAGAGGGTTTTTGCACAGAAAGTGAGAATGTTTGAGAATGAGACTTCAATGTCTTGTAACTAGCAGACCTGGTTCAAATACTATATAGGGTATTTCAATTACTTTCAAATACATTTTGAAGTAAGTATTTCAATATATATATTTTTTTGAAAGACAAGTAGTTGAATATTGTAATGTATTTGGAAATACACTTGGAAAGTATTTGGAAATACACTTGGAAAGTATTTGAAAATACTTACATACACTGACTCAAAAACACTCCCAGGCATTTGAAAATAGTATTTGAAATAAGTATTTGATAATACTTTCAAATACTTCCAATAGAATTCTCAATTTGAAAATACTGAGATACACAGAAAATAAGTATCTAAATATCAAATAATCAATTACACATGTATTTGAACCCAGGTCTGGTAACTAGTCCTGCTAAACATGCCAACAGTGAATAGTACTGAATGCTCTTAGCGTTCGGGTCAGTCATGTGGTCACACACAAATGACACCTGACGGAAAGAGGAAAGAGATTAATATATAAACCTTCCTTCATTTTTTAAATGTAAATCTATGAGCTGTGTTATTACTTTATCTTTTTATACTTTATGTCTTGTGTATACTGGTGAATGTGAGCTAAAACGCAGTAAGATTTATTGCAGACAGTCAGCGCCTGGACTTCAGAGAAATGTACTAGAACAGACCTAAACTTTACAAAAGCTCTTTAGCTTAGTTTCTTAAACGTTGTGTTGCATTGACAATATCCACACACACATCCCACGTATGTATCCGACTGAAAATATCCATTGTAATGCAGTGCCATTGTAATTTTCTTTCTTTAATTGTGAAGTTGTTTGACTCCTGCTAGTCCATTACAAGTACGGTTACAATACAGGCATTTGGACTTCAAGCGTGCTTTGTAATGCGAAGGCAAATTGGGTGTTCTGATACTGTAGACTAATTCTGAATTCAAAACTTTCTTGAAATCCACAGAGCTACATGCTACACTCTTAGAAAATAGGGTTCCAAAAGGGTTCTTTGGCTGTCCCGACAAGTAGAACCATTTTAGGTTCCAGGTAGAACCCTCTGTGTAAAGTGTTCTACATAGAACCAAAAGGGTTATATCTGGAACCAAAAAGGGTTCTCCAAAGGGTTATCCTATGGGGACAGCCAAAGAACCCTTTTAGGTTCTAGATAGCACCTTTTTTTCCAGGAGTGTAGAGACTCATGGAATCGTACTCGTGCAATTCTGATTATGCATGTATGCAACACAAATAATCTGAATAGATGTCACCCCTGTGAAACCCCCCAGACAGGAGACATATCTGATATGGAGAGGTTAAAAATGGTTTGATCAGATAATCAGTTAGGCAACAGCCTGGCTTTGACGGCATGAACTCAAGGTTATTACTCAGTTGTGTGAGCAAACATTTAGCTATTGCCACAGTGTCAGGCAACCAGAAAGTCCATCATAAACACAGGTCAACGAGCATGTGCTCCAAAGCACGATGAAGTCTACATTTTCCAAAGCCAAAAGTTTTTAGGGCTGATGCAAATTATATGCATCCATTCAAGCAAAGAAAATCTCTGTCTATATGTTTGTTTTCTGTTTTCTTTTTAGAATGTTTACACTAACTGGGTATAGTGTATGTGTATGATACATTTGAAGCTAAAGCCTCTTTGCTGCTTTCTTAATGGTTTGCATCTTCTGCATGGCTGGCAGTAGCAGGGTATACTGTATCTGGAGACTGTCCTACCCTACCCTGGCACCATGCAGGAACTATACTGCTCTATGCCGCAAAAGGCCCCATATTGTATTGCAGTTTGATATGCTAGCATGGCCTTCAGGTTCCTATAGAAAGCACTTCCTGGTTACCTGGCTCCTAGAACATTAGAATATTACAACAATAGAACATTCTATTGTTCTTCTGCAAGCACTTCCTGTCCTCCTGTCCTAGAGCTTCACGTGTGTCATCCTGTGGTGCCATCCTTCCACAGGGAACACTACTGCAGTTTAGAATGTACCGTGATGTTAACTAATACCATTGATTTTGAACTGTTTTCCAAACAGAAAGCCTCACATAACTTTCATGATCGGCCATGATTTCTGCATGAGCACTTTATCGGCTTACTGTATATTTATGAGATTCTGCAACAGGTTGTCCTCTAATGACATTTCCTAGTTTTGGCACTCAGTCACTGCATGTGAAACAATGCTAAAAGCAAAATGGATATGTATCAGGTGATTTTCTTTAGGCCTGGCTGCGTGAAGGAATGTGTGCTCTGTGACATAACAACAATATTATCAACCAAATTATGGAGGAATGTCTGTATACTGTAACTGAATAATGATACCAGCATTTTGATTTAATATCAATTCCAGTAGCTTTTATTGTCTATGTTTTTAAATTGCATGATATTTTTAATAATTTATAATAAGAATACGTTATTAGGAATTTGTTTATTGTACTGTATGCCATAATTCCATTTGAAAATATATTTTAAACAAAACAAAATAAATATGTTTTGACTTGACACTGATGACGTTTTTGATTTCTTGAGGAGTTACCTTTTTTTTAAACCAGAAATTCAAGCGTTTTCCTAACTCTCATCTCAATAGCAAAGTTATTACAGTTATTACAGTTATTACACGTGTGTCAATCGAAGTAACATAATAAAAAAATCCCCATCAAAATCCGTCAATTTAAGCTAGCAATATCACGTTTTTTGGATGGACTGTGTCTCAATCCACTGCAGTGGATTTGTCAGACCATGATAGATCCCGAAAATCTTCTCACAAAAACGTCTGTAGCGTCCTAACTGTTTGAGCTCCAAACTAATATGACCCCACTGTGGAAAGGGGAGACTCTCAGGAACATGATGGTGTTCTCCATACAAACGAATTAAAGTATGGAGGTAGTTTTGTGGCAACAAAAATAAGGGGTTAAATACGTGACCAAAAAACCCTAAACCAAAAACAAACAAAAATTTGTCACATGCGCCGAATACAACGTGCAATGCTTATTTACAAGCCCTTAACCAACAATACAGTTCAAGAAATAGAGTTAAGAAAATATTTACTAAATAAACTAAAGTAAAAAATTAAATAAAAAGTAACACAACAAAAATTACAATAACGAGGCTATATACAGGGGGTACCGGTACTGAGTCAATGTGCGGGGGTACAGGTTAGTCAGTAATTTGTACATGTAGGTAGGGGTAAAGTGACTATGCATAGATAATAAACAGCGAGTAGCAGCAGTGAAAAAACAAAGGGGTGACCATTTGATTAATTGTTCAGCAGTCTTATGGCTGTTAAGGTGCCTTTTGGACCAAGACTTGGCGCTCTGGTACCACTTGCCATGCGGTAGCAGAGAGAACAGTCTATGACTTGGGTGACTGGAGTCTTTGACTATTTTTAGGGCCTTCCTTTGACACCACCTAGCATATAGGTCCTGGATGACAGGCAGGTTGGCCCCAGTGATGTACTGGGTTGAACGCACTACCCTCTGTAGCGCCTTATGGCCGGATGCCGAGCAGTTGCCATACCAGGCGGTGATGCAACCGGTCAGGATGCTCTCGATGGTGCAACTGTAAAACTTTTTGAGGATCTGGGGACCCATGCCAAATCTTTTCAGTCTCCTGAGGGGGAAAAGGTGTTGTCGTGCCCTCTTCACGACTGTCTTGGTGTGTTTGGACCATGATAGTTTGTTGGTGATGTGGACACTAAGGAGCTTGAAACTCCTGACCCGCTCCACTACAGCCCCATTGATGTGAATAGGGGTCTGTTCGGCACTCCTTTTCCTGTAGTCCACGATCATCTCCTTTGTCTTGCTCACGTTGAGGGAGAGGTTGTTTTCCTGGCACCACACTGCCAGGTCTCGGACCTCCTCCCTATAGGCTGTCTCATCATTGTCGGTGATCAGGCCTACCACTGTTGTGTCGTAAGCAAACTTAATGATGGTGTTGGAGTCGTGCTTGGCCATGCAGTCTTGGGTGAACAGGGAGTACAGGAGGAGACTAAGCACGCACCCCTGAGGGGCCCCCGTGTTGAGGATCAGTGTGGCAGATGCGTTGTTGCCTACCCTTACCACCAGGGGGCGGACTGTCATGAAGTCCAGGATCCAGTTGCAGAGGGAGGTGTTTAGTCCCAGGGTCCTTAGCAAATTGATGAGCTTTGTGGGCACTATGGTGTTAAACGCTGAGCTGTAGTCAATGAACAACATTCTCACATAGGTGTTCCTTTTGTCCAGGTGGGAAAGGGCAGTGTGGAGTGCAATTGAGATTGCGTCATCTGTGGATCTGTTGGGGCGGTATGCGAATTGGAGTGAGTCTAGGGTTTCCGGGATGATGGTATTGATGTGAGCCATGACCTGCCTTTCAAAGCATTTCATGGCTACAGATGAGAGTGCTACGGGGCAGTAGTCATTTAGGCAGGTTACCTTCGCTTTCTTGGGCACAGGGATTATGGTGGTCTGCTTGAAACATGTAGGTATTACAGACTCGGTCAGGGAGAAGTTGAAAATGTCAGTGAAGACACTTGCCAGTTGGTCCGCGCATCTCTGAGTACACATCCTGGTAATCCGTCTGGCCCCGCGGCCTTGTGAATGTTGACCTGTTTAAAGGTCTTGCTCACATCGGCTACGGAGAGCGTGATCACACAGTCGTCCGGTACAGCTGGTGCTCTCATGCATGCTTCAGTGTTGCTTGCCTTGAAGCGAGCATAGAAGGCATTTAGCTTGTCTGGTAGGCTCGCGTCACTGGGCAGCTTGCGGCTGGGTTTCCCTTTGTAGTCCGTAATAGTTTGCAAGCCCTGCCACATCCGACGAGCGTCAGAGCCGGTGTACTAGGATTCAATCTTAGTCCTGTATTGATGCTTGCCTGTTTGATTGTTCGTCTGAGGGCATAGCGTGATTTCTTATAAGCGTCCGGATTAGTGTCCTGCTCCTTGAAAGCGGCAGCTCTAGTCTTTAGCTCGGTGCGGCTATTGCCTGTAATCCATGGCTTGTGGTTGAGATGTGTACGTACGGTCACTGTGGGGACGATGTCATCGATGCACTTATTGATGAAGCCGGTGACTGAGATGGTATACTCCTCAACGCCATTGGATGAATCCCGGAACATATTCCAGTCTGTGCTAGCAAAACAGTCCTGTAGCATAGCATCCGTGTCATCTGACCACTTCCGTGTTGAGCGAGTCACTAGTAGTTCCTGCATTCGTTTTTGCTTGTAAGCAGGAATCAGGAGGATAGAATTTTGGTCAGATTTGCCAAATGGAGGGCAAGGGAGACCTTTGTACGCGTCTCTGTGTGTGGAGTAAAGGTGGTCTAGAGTTTTTTTTCCTCTAGATGCACTTGTGACATTCTGGTAGAAATTAGGTAAAAAGGATTTAAGTTTGCCTGCATTAAAGTCCCCGGCCACTAGGAGCGGCACTTCTGGATGAGCATTTTCTTGTTTGCTTATGGCCTTATACAGCTCGTTGAGTGCGGTCTTAGTGCAAGCATCGGTTCGTGGTGGTACAGTTGAAGTCGGAAGTTTACATACACTTAGGTTGGAGTCATTAAAATGTATTTTTCAACCACTCCACAAATGTCTTGTTAACAAACTATAGTTTTGGCAAGTTGGTTAGGACATCTACTTTGTGCATGACACAAGTAATATTTCAAACAATTGTTTACAGATAGATTATTTCACTTATAATTCACTGTATCACAATTCCGGTGGGTCAGAAGTTTACATACACAAAGTTGACTGTGCCTTTAAACAGCTTGGAAAATTCTAGAAAATTATGTCATGGCTTTAGAAGCTTCTTATAGGCTAATTGACATCATTTGAGTCAATTGGAGGTGTACCTGTGGATGTATTTCAAGGCCTACCTTCAAACTCAGTGCCTCTTTGCTTGACATCATGGGAAAATCAAAAGAAATCAGCCAAGACCTCAGAAAAAATTGTAGACCTCCACAAGTCTGGTTCATCCTTGGGAGCAATTTCCAAACGCCTGAAGGTACCACGTTCATCTGTACAAACAATAGTACGCAAGTATAAACACCATGGGACCACGCAGCCGTCATACTGCTCAGGAAGGAGACGCGTTCTGTCTCCTAGAGATGAACGTACTTTGGAGCGAAAAGTGCAAATCAATCCCAGAACAACAGCAAATGACTTTGTGAAGATGCTGGAGGAAACAGGTACAAAATTATCTATAGCCACAGTAAAACGAGTCCTATATCGACATAACCTGAAAGGCCGCTCAGCAAGGAAGAAGCCACTGCTCCAAAACCACCATAAAAAAGCCAGACAACGGTTTGCAACTGCAAATGGGGACAAAGATTGTACTTTTTTAGGAAATGTCCTCTGGTCTGATGAAACAAACATAGAACTGTTTGGCCATAATGACCATAGTTATGTTTGGAGGAAAAAGGGGGTAGCTTGCAAGCCGAAGAACACCATCCCAACCGTGAAGCACGGGGGTGGCAGCATCATGCTGTGGGGGTGCTTTGCTGCAGGAGGGACTGGTGCACTTCACAAAATAGATGGCATCATGAGGAAGGAAGATTATGTGGATATATTGAAGAAACATCTCAAGCCATCAGTCAGGAAGTTAAATCTTGGTTGCAAATGGGTCTTCCAAATGGACAATGACCCCAAGCATACTTCCAAAGTTGTGGCAAAATGGCTTAAGGACAACAAAGTCAAGGTATTGGAGTGGCCATCAATAAGCCCTGACCTCAATCCTATAGGAAATGTGTGGGCAGAACTGAAAAAGCGTGTGCGAGCAAGGAGGTCTACAAACCTGACTCAGTTACACCAGCTCTGTCAAGAGGAATGGACCAAAATTCCCCCAATTTATTGTGGGAAGCTTGTGGAAGGCTACCCGACATGTTTGACCCAAGTTAAACAATTTAAAGGCAATGCTACCAAATACTAATTGAATGTATGTACATTTCTGACCCACTGGGAATGTGATGAAATAAATAAAAGCTGAAAAAAAATCATTTTCTCTACTATTATTCTGACATTTCACATTCTTAAAATAAAGTGGTGATCCTAACTGACCTAAGACAGGGAATTTTTACTAGGATTAAATGTCAGGAATTGTGAACTGAGTTTAAATGTATTTGGCTAAGGTGTATGTAAACATCCGACTTCAACTGTAAGTAGACGGCTACGAAAAATATAGACG